CCATTAACTAACACATTACAAAATTGTATAATTAAGTTAAGTTTAATTATAACTTGAAGTTATACTCTTTGGAATAATATTCTTTAATAAATCGAACATTATACTATTATATTATAACTGGTTTATTAATAATCCCATTTTAGAAATATTTTATTTTAATTTCATTCAACATGCAAAACCTAACGAACTGTTCTACAACAAGTAATGAAGGCCTAAGATTGGATGCAGCCGAACATTATATATCTTCGTAATTTTCAAGAATTAACTTCTATAATAAAATGGGTACATATGGAATAATAATAATCGAAATATGTTCTTGTTATTTTATTCAGATACTAGCTTTACCCCGCCTTCCTTCGCATTGATCCTTACATACTTGTACATAAGTATGTATAACGCAGACGCTTTCGATTATTTTGTTAGTTTGCTGGAAGTTGAAATTTTCGACGAATTTTTAAACGAGCAGATGTGATCTAAAGAAATAAATTTTCACAATCCGTAAAATATAATATGTATTTTTAATAATAAGTGTCCTATGTCGCCTCTAGTACCAAAGAATATGTACAAAGTATATGTATTTGGCATATGTCAATCAGAGAAGCGGAATTCGTTATATTAGATATATGGGGCTAGCCAAGATCTAGACCGAATGCTGAATTTAGAACATAGTCGCTATCTCTACCTCCGCGCGCCACCAACTAAATTAAGTTTAAGGGAGATAATACATAAAGATTTACTTAATTTTGCGTAATTCATTGATTTTGTTTATTTCGAAATACAAAATTACACTGGATAAGTTGTAGTGTAAGTTGAGTAAAGAAATTTTGAGTGACCGGACATGAATTTTATAATTTACATTGATGGCAGTGGCGCCATCTGTCGAAAATTGGTCGTATCAACTCAGAAACCTCCTTTAGCCCATGCACAGCAACTTGCTAATGCTTATCACTTGATCAAATGCAAATTTTACGATTCTATGAAGGACATACAGAAAATCATTATTTTTATACTCTGCAACATATTGCTACAAAGTATAATTAACCTACGATTGTTTGTATCAACTAAAACTAATCGAGATAGATATAGGGTTATATTTTGAGCAGGATGACGAGACGAGTGAGATCGGGTGACTGTCTGTTCGTCCTTCCGTCGATCTGTGAATTGAGATATCGTAATGAAACTTTGTACATGTGATCGCTGGCAAAACGGAAAGACGGTAGTGTAAAGGGGCGTAATTGAACCACTGCCACGCCCACAAAACGCCATTAACCGAAACCTATAAAGTCGAAAACATCTCGGTAATCATACATTCGGCGGATCTGAAGACTTAGTCGAAACGGACATTGGCCGTCTCAGCAAATTAGTTATAGGCTCAAAGCGCTTTACGACATTAAGGTACTTTTGATCCAGCTTTATAGGAATTTTAGATCCCACAACGGACCGGCGTTTAAGCTGTCCAAATGTGATCTTCTTAGGATCGACCTTCTAACCAACATAACTAAACAATAAAGCAGGATATAAAATTTAATGATTTGGTACAGTTGATCGCAGTAGCAAGAGACTCTTGCTCTCGTATAAGTTTAATGGTCATATCTCCTAAACCATAAAGCTACAATAGCCAAATTTACTCGAGCAAATCTTTAAACACCTTTACCCACAATCTAGACAGAGTGAAACTGGATGAAGTCGGATAATACCCCTCCACTCCCATATATTAACACCTAAGATATTAGCGATGGGCTTTATGGACATAGTGTACAAATTGCACAATTTACCTTTAGGTGATATATATCCTATATCAATTGATCACCACGCCTACTACCCATATAAAATTGTAAATTAAATTTCATCTGTTTCTTTCACTTTCCAGTACACAAATCAAGCACAATGAATATATCGGAATAAAACTTAGCACAAATAATGGCTTTGAGCTATTTTATCTTACCGCCAAATTCGGACTTTTCAAGGATCAGAGACCAAATATATGACCAATATATAAAATTCCTAATACAATTCAGAAAGAATCTCTTTCTAAACAAGATTTAAGTGGATATGCCTAATATATATTTATTTATTTATGTAACAACGTCCGCCAATCAGCATTATACAATAGTAATAATTATATAAATGTAAATCAGGGAAAGAAAAATATTGATTCAAATTAATTAAGTTAATATTAAGTGCAAGAACAAAAATAAACAGGAGAAATAAATCAGGCTAGGGCATTGTAGCAGACGGGGTTTAATATTAGAAGAAGGTACTGAGTGACAGGTCCATTGTAGGGACAGGTCCATTGTAGTGATAGCCTGGGTGCATTATGAAATACATGGATAATTAAGTTGCTGAAACAGAGGTCAAGTATGTTATTATTACGTCGACGTTGTTGAATTGACGGCATTCGATTAGGGAAAGTCCTTCGTACAGAAGTCTCTCACAGTCAGCGCGTGGCGCACTAGTGGGAAGATTGAAATCGCCAGTAATTAGAAAATTACTATTGCTATGTTTATCTTTAAGTATTGCAACGTGCCGATAAGTGACTGATAGACATCGATTGAGGCTCTAGAGGGAATGTAGACACATCCCATATAGACTTGTTCAAGGTTGTTGTCAAGGATGGAGACACTTCAGCGTGTATATAGTTTTCGTAGCGATAAAACACCTGCCCCGTTCATTGTCACTAGTTGAGCTTCTTCTGTCCTTTTAAAGATATTAAAAGAATTGTCTATACTACTAACTGCTTTCCGAGTTTGGTGCGGAGCCCTCTCACGTTCTGATAGTGAAGATGCATTATTGCCTGAGTTGCCTTTATCGTTGACCGGGCGAAAATTCTTATTTGTAGCACAAGTGACACAAGCCCTCAAAACCGCAGGGCTTCTGTTAAAAAAGATAACGGCGAAATCCCTAATATCTTAAAGGACATACCTAAAGAAAATCAGTTGGACACTAGTTTCCTTAAATTCGAAAAGGAAAGTACAACAAAAACTCTGGGGGTACAATGGAATGCGATATCTGACCAGTTTTCACATACTAAAGAATCAATATCATTTCGACCCCGCAGGATGGCTTTCGACAATTATGATATAAGCCAAAATCCTAATACAAAAATTATGGTTAGATGGAACCGATTGGGATGAACAAGTAAAACCACTTCGTTTAGGTAAACTATGCCCCAGAGCACAAAGTCGAACTACACGGCTTCTGTGACGTCTCTGAAAAGGCATATTGCGCAACGATATATGTTCGCTCTCAAAGCGACACTGCGACCACAAGCCACTTACTAGTAACAAAAGCCAAAGTAGCTCCTGTACAGACAATAAGTCTACCACGACTTAAACTGTGTCAAGCGCTACAACTAGAAAAACTAGTATCCATGATGCGAATGCAAGTTCATAGAGCGACTCAAAACTAAACATAACCTCTTAATATTCCCAATGCGATACATTGACGCACCTAGGCTTACAAAAAGCAAAAGTCGCTCTTATCGCATATACTCAAGCGCACTACTTCAGCCGCGATATATCACTATCGAGAGAATCAAAAACTTTTGATAAGAGAAGTCCCCACTTAGTTCTAAACCTATTCCTCGACACGAAAGGTCTTCTTCGTGTGAATGGTCGGCTTGTCAATTCAAGCCTAACGTATAACGAACGCCATCCCATAATTGTACCAGAAAAGTCTCGACTTGTCACATTACTCATCAGTTATATCCACATATTAATGCTTCATGCCGATCATTGCCTTATGCAACATATGGTCCGCCAGGAATTTACATTCCCCGACTTAAGCCCCAAATAAAGAAGTGCATTTTCTTGTGCAAAATCTGCACCACGCACAAGCAAAAGATGCGAACACAGATTATGCCTTTCTCCATCACAGGTGTCGATTTTGCTGGGCCTTTTCAAATAAAGGCGTCAATGTTAAGGTCCCCCACTCTGATGAAAGGCTATGTGGCTGTCTTTGTCTGTTTTACGACAAAAGCAGTGCACCTTGAGCTTTCTACTAATCTGACAAATGAGGCCTTACTTGCGGCATTTGCTCGCTTCATAGCACGACGCGGCTTTCCATCGAAGATAATGAGGAACAATGGTAAGACATTTATCGGCGCTCAACGAGCCACCAAAAAACAATTGTGTGCACTTTATTAAACAAATCTCACCTGAGATTGTAAAAAAGTACGCGCCTCAAGGCATTAATTGGCAATACATCCCCCCAAGCGCTCCTCATATGGGTGGTTTATGGGAATCGGCTGTATAAAGCTTCAAAATCCACTTCAAAAAGGTAGCTGGAAATTACAAATTTAATTACGAAGAATTCACAACATTTTTAATTCGAATTGAAGCCGTTCACAATTAACGGCCTCTTACAATCCATTCGCAAGATCCCTCCGATTTCACAGCCTTAACACCTGGGCATTTTCTCAACGGAACACCCATTCTGGCCATAGCTGAGCCAGGCCTGAAGTCGCTATCCGTATTAAATTCCTGGGAAAGAATTAAAACTCTCCATCACGATTTCAACCGCCGATGTAAAGAAGAATACATAAAGGATCTCCACAATAGATACCGTTGGAAGACCCCTGAACAAGCGCCAAAACTTGGAGATTGTGTCATCATCCATGATGATTGTCTACCTCCTACCGAATGGCGAATTGGGCGCATAGAAAAGCTACATTACGGCTCCAACGGTCACATACGAGTAGTTGATCTGCGTACGCAAAGTGGAATGCTAACCAGACCGCTCGTGAAGCTATGCTTTCTACCAACCGCCGATAATAGGGACAAAGCAATTCGCAAACAATTAACCGATACTACCGCAATACAATAAAATAATCAAATCAAGAAGAAAAAACCGAAAAACTCGTTAATAACCGTTAAAAATAACAAATAACTAATAAAAAATGGGCGATCAATACGACGACCCATTCATTCCACATAGCGTGGCACGATCATCCATATAGTTTATATGACAAATCTACATAATCAAACAACTCTTTTATACAGATTAATATGAATATGGATACGCCAATGACTCCAACGCCAACTGTGCGATCGGCTACCAACGTGCCACGCACTGGGCCTTCCATAACGCCACTAGGCCTTCCCCGAGCCGCAGCTGCAACTACCCCTGCAACAGCACCTGCAACGACACCGGTAACGGCACCAGCTCCTCGTGGTGGCACACGACCACCATCACTGCCTTCAGAGGCAAATTGTATACGATGTCCCATATGTCGGCGCCCACACCGCCTGCAACATTGTTAAAGGTATGCGACCGTGCTGTGCCAAATTTGCAGCAGACCACATCACACGCTACTTCATCGCAGCTCGAGGCGCGACGTCGGTCGGCCACCTACCCTTCGAAGCCTCGCAACAAGACCTCAACTCGTGCGGTACACCCGTGGAATGGAACCGCAACAACCTCGTTCCACGGGTCTGAACAGCGATGTAGCAACGCTACAACAGCTGCAGCGACTACTAGGCTAATCATTTGCCTAGGGGGCTGGGATGGCTAAATGACCACTCAATCCCCACTCACCATAATAACACTGCACACCACATCAATTCACATCCACATCACCACACCTACTTACCATACATTACACATCACTACACCAACACGCACACAAATACAACATCACCACGATCACACCACCATGAAGACATCAACAGCATATAAGGGACTAAAAAAAGATCCCGCTCGCTATTTAGCATTCGATTCGCTAACGATCGCATCTTTTTCGGTTCGAGCCCCCGCCTAAATCTACTTCGTTTTTTTTTCATTGTTCCACTGATTTTACGAATGGTGAGTGAACTTAAAATTAATTTATTAGTTGTTTTAAATATATTGCTAGGAGTTCTTTTTCTATGGTAGCATATCTTTTTTCATGTTCATTGAGTGTTCTACTAACGAAACTGACCGGATGATTATCTTGGAGTAAGACAGCTCCGATAGCATGATTACTTGCGTCGGTGGAAATTTTAAACTTTTTATGTAAATCTGGGTATTTTAATATTGGTGGGTTGACTAAAAGGGTTTTTAAATTTTCAAATGAGTCGACATATTGTGGGTCTTTCAAATTTATTTTGATGTCTTTCTTTAGATATGTAGTCAAGCCGTAGGCAATTTTCGCATAGTCTTTCACGATTTTGGTAATTGGAGTTTTTGAATAGCCTGTATTTTTGCTGTGCCTGGTTTAACTCCCTCTGTAGTCAATACGTGCCCTAAATAGTATGTTGTTTTAGCGAAGAAGTTACATTTATCTATTTGTAATTTTAAATTATGTTTTCTCAACCTTTCGAAAACTTTATTTATGCTTGTTACATGCCCTTGTATAGAACTGCTTAATATTATACATATTTTATAATATTAGGATATCGTCTAGGTATATGACGCATATCACAGCAATTAAATCTCTTAATATGAAATTCACTAATCGTTGAAAGGTTGGCGGGGCATTCTTTAATCCGAAAGGCATTCTTTTGAATTCATAGTTCCCAAATGGTGTGAAAAATGCTGTTTTCTCTCGGTCGTTTTCATTTATTAGTGTCGTGAAGTACTGAGCTCGAAATTCATCGTTACCGTAACTTCGTTCAGTTTCCTGTAATCAATAACGATGCGCCACTTTTTTTGTGCTGAATTATCTAATTTTTTGGGCACAATCCACAAGGGTGAATTGTAAGGTGAGTTACTCTCTGTGATTTTACCGTGATCAAGCATTTCGGCTATTTGCCTTTTTAATTCCTGCTCGTGTATTTGGGGATACCTGTATATTTTGGAATATATGGGTTTATCGGTGCATAGGATAGTTTTTGCCCTTCCTGAAAGAATAAATCGCTATTTTTTGAAATGATAGTTTTGAGGTATTCTGCTTCCTCGGAATTCGTTTCCTCTCTAATTAACTTTTTATAAAGTTCTTCGTCGGCATTAATTGTTTCTAGTGCATGTACTTCATTGATATTAAAAGGGCATGTACCAACGAATTTCGTTCGTATGTTATTGATTTCGATGTATTCGTCCTCGAGGTTTATATGTGCCTTTAAGGGTGTAAGGATATTATTTCCTATTATCCCTTCAAGCTCATTAGGTTTTCGTCATTAAATTCTTTCGGTAATTCTGTTATAATTTCGTATTTAACTAGTGTTTGCCCGCTTAAGGTATTAAATGTAAAAATATTTTCTAGTTTTATTCGTTTATATTGTGGTAAACAGAATTTATTTAATAATGATGTCGTTGAGCCAGTATCTAGTAAACATCTAATTTTATTTTTAATTTCGTATTTAACTTGTGTTTGCCCGCTTAAGGTATTAAATGTATAAATATTTTCTAGTTTTATTCGTTCATATTGTGGTAAACAGAATTTATTTAACAATGATGTCGTTGAGCCAGTGTTTAGTAAACATCTAATTTTATTTTTGCCTATAGTGAGTTCTACTATCGGTAAACATGTCGATGGGTGGCTAAGTGAAAATGTGGTCTACCTCCATCGGCTCTGGTGCGGTGTAATTATTATGTCTCATTTGTCTTTATAAATGATCGGGTTGCCTATATTGCCTGGAGAAGCGATCATGTTGTGCTGAGTTATGATGATTTTGCCTGTATTGTCCTGAGAAACGGTCTTGTTGTCTTGAATTATAACTGTTTTGTCTGTATTGTCCAGAAGAACGGTCTTGTTGTCCTGAATTATAATTGTTTTGTCTGTATTGTCCAAAAGAACGGTCTTGTTGTCCTGAATTATAGTAGTTATGGCTTTGTGGCCCTTGGGACTGATCTTGATGGCCTGAAGTTCTAAAATTCTGCCTAAATTGTATTGAGGTACGTGACTGTCTATTGTAGTTTTTATCGTATCGTGAAAGTAAACCTGTTTCTTCGAGTGTATAATAAGCTTCCCTCAAATTATTTATATTCCTACTATGAATGATGCTACTCAAAGTGGGATCTATGCCGCTCAGATAAATTTTTAAAATTAATGATTCATTTTTCGTTTATATATTATATTATGTTTCGCTTATTTGGTTTTTTATATATTTTATTTATATATATATATTATTTATATTAATTTTATTTTAATATATATTCTTTCTTATTATTTTGTTTTTCACTAGAACATAATTTGATTATTGTCCTTTCATTATGTTTTTTCACTCGGACTAAATTTTGAGTCCTTTTGTATATCTTAGGATATATTTTCCGCACTGGACATAACTTCGGTTATTGTCCATTCTTATGTATCTTTGGATACATTATTTTTTAACCAACTGCGCCAATTAGGTCGAATGTACCGGCGGGAACCAAAAAAAACAATTAGTCGTTTGTTGTTAATGGATATACTTTATTTTATATTCTCCCATTTTGTTATTACAATTGTTCGCTTATATTCTACAGTAATGCTTACTTAGCTAAATATGCGATTTGGTAATGCAAATGAATTTCAAAGTTGAGAATACCATTAGGCAATACGGGTTGCTGACACTTTGTGTTTACGTAGCCAAACATGCATTTGTAGTCATTCTGACGAAATCGGAGTTATTGTTGCAATTGGGTCATTGGCTCCAACAAACTTGTAGTTTGTCATCATTACTTATTTGGGTTTTGGATTGCGTTGCGGTGACGTAACCAGCGCGTTGAAACTTTCGTCTCAATCGGCTGACAGTCCTCCTCTCCGAGGTTAACTCACGTGTCCACCATTTGATTTTCCTAACCATAACACTTTCACACTTCTTATGTAACCTATCGTTCACCCCCCACACTACCTCATAAAAACGAGCAACCTGCTCGTCAACCCCCAAATCCTCAAACACTATATATATACCTAATACCGCTTTCCTGACAGATCGTCCATATTGGTTCCAGTCCAGAAGTACGCTATCGCCGCAATGGATTCTCATACAGCGAGGGAGGGGATTTGGGAGTAACCATAATTTGGATCAAATTATGATCACTCAATCCCCACACTCCCCAGGCTTTTAGCCACTACCCATTCACTTAATGCCTCCCTCCACCCACAACAACGACAACGCCCCTCTTTTCCTGTTCCCCTTCTCCAAGTTACCCTTCACCGTGGTAATCTTGGCAGCATCTACCTCCACAACTTTAATTTCCGCGCCCGTTTGCTCCCCGTTGTTTTCGGCAAGAACACTCTCCTTCGCAGTTGTGTTGTCAACACTGCCCTTAGAACCGTCATGTGAGCGCGCTAACGATGGCGACTCAACGCGCGCTACTCTCTGCGGTGGGGACCTAACCGAAGGTCCCGCCCCTTCAACCGACGTGGAATCATCCCCTACCGTCGAAGCAGCGGATTCTCCGCTTCCAGCGAGGGTCTAACCCTCCTTTTCCGTGGAGGGGGCATCTCAGCCACGACTCCCTCCCAATCTGACTGATGCGCTGGCGTATCACTGACGCAAAAGACTCACTGACAGGAAGGATTCTGAAGCAGCTGCTCTCTGGGTGCGTGCGTCTGAACGCACTGGAAAATTCGACTCGCGCGTAGGCCTGTTCAGTAGCAGCGACCACCCAAGCGGTCGATTTACGCGATCTCGCAGGGGCGACAGTTAACAGTTCACTGCGTGGGTTAACATTTCACTGCTACACAATAATCGCAAACTCCAATACTGGGACAGACACCGGGACCCTTTGGGCAATCCTGTCCAGAACCTCCTGACACAGAGACTACTGAACTCCATATGCTCGAAACAGTACTCCTGGTCAGCAAAGATGCCAACAACACGATCCTAAACTGGAACCGTGCGATTATCCACCAACAACAACGTGTATGACCACGTTACGCAAATACCTAATGGTAAGCCTATACAATTCACAATGTGCACTTACCGCAATAACCGTTACCTGTTCACCAAATATATGCACAAATATTCACAAAAACGCGCAAAAGCATGCACTCGACCGAAAAACACACTCGCGGTTCCGTACCCGAGCAATAACAACGTACACGTTATTAGCGAATGCCCGCACAAAACAAAGTTCCACAATAAGGATATCGAAAATATCGCTTAAAAAATCGCAACTATACGCACGCACGTCTATCCGCGGCGAAATCCAAACAACGAATCTGAGGAAAGGGCACACAGAGTCAACAACTTCAGAAATCATAGCAAAACGAACTGGCTGGTGCACATGCAAGAGCTGGAAAAACGTTTCCCTATGATTCCGCCGTTTCAGCCCAAAAGCAAGGAGGACCTCGACATCCTAGTTAATGATTCATGGTATCTTGCCGGCAAGCATTAAAATTGGCTGGTCCAATAACACGAAGTAGGGGTAGAATTAGGGCCCCATGGTGGTCTCCCGAACTTAAAAAATTACAGGAAGAATGCAGAAAGCAGAAAGCAATCCTAACTAAAGGAAGATTGAGATAATAATTACCACCTCCTAAAGACATACAAAAAGGAGGTTAGGAGAACAAAACGAAATTCTTGGAAATCTTTTTGCAATCTTGACTTTGGAAAATAATGGCACAATCGGTGCACAGAATTGGATATCTTCAGAAGCCAGACCACA